TATTCATCATAATACACACTCCCCGACTGGAGAATACACAGTCCCCAAAGGAGAATACATTGTCCCCAAAAGAGAAAAAACAAAACACAAACACACGCTGACAACACAAGACCTAAACATAAAATAAAATAAACTAATCAATAACAATAAACACGGCCCTCCCCACCAGACGCAAAGAGCACCGAACCAGCACGGCTCAAGAAGACACCTCGATAATGAACCACAAAAGGAAAGCTACAAACCACGACCTGAAATGGAACACTCCTACTAAAAGGCGGCTAGACCACACCAGTCCGAGACTCGAAACCAACCTAAGCCCACCACCAACGAGCCTCCAAGAGAGACCCAAACCCCCGACCTTCCACACAAGCCCTCGCCCGTCGCAGCTCCAAGAACTACCACAGGCCGAGGAGTTCCGACGACCAAGCACCAAGGGCCGCTGGAAAAAGAAATTTCGACGGACAAGCCTCACACGAAAGCCAAGCACCCCCTCAAGCCCAGCCCTCTGCACCCCCGACAAGAAAACCGACGACCGCACCAACTCCTCGCCATGGCATCTCTGGTAGGAAGCAATCCACGCGAAGAAGGACCGCCGCTCGTCGGGGACCAGACTGACCGGAAAAGGAGGCATCGACTCCCGCGCCGCCACTGGCCGCGCCCCCCCCGCTCCGGTGAGGAGGCTCTCAGATCGGGAATTTTGAGACTAGGGTTTAGGGAATTTGGGGCAAAAACAGGAGAGAGAAGAGGATTTTTAGTATGAGTTGTTATATATGTACTTTGTGTTGGTACCACTAAGACCTTCTCCAACCGAACGGAAAAACTCAATTTTTGCAGTGAAATCTCCTCCAACCGAGCGGCAAACGCAACGGAAATTTGCGTTTTTGCCTTCTCTCTCCTCCTCCAAGACGCAAATTTGCGTATGGACGCGAAATAGCGCTCTCTTTTTTTTGTTTTTTTTGCATTTTAGTCCTTTTCTTTATGTTAATCTTATTTTGTTCTTTTTGTTTTTGCACTTAAGTTCAATCCTTATATGGATGACTAAATTAATGAATGTTAATTATATATATTTATCAAAATAGTAATATTAATGTAAAATACTAAAAAATCTTTATCTCATAAAAATTAATTAGTATAATTTTTAAAATAATAAATATTATATTTATCATTTGATTCTATATATTTCACAATAATAATATAAAATATACATATAATTTATGGTATTTTTATTTAACAAGAAAATAAAACACTAACATTAAATAACAACAATATTGAGTTGTAAAATATGATTATGATTATAACAACATATAATTTATTATGTATATGATTATAACTTTATAATTAGTTTATTACATAAAGTCCAAATTGAATTGAAGATAATAGTGTGGTTTAATTTTGTAAAGTTGTAAAATATGTGAGTAGTATTAAAAATTATAAAAGTGGATGTAGAAGAGAATATTTCGAGAATATTCTTTTGGGTTGGATAATGGGTTTTTCGGTTGGAGATGAATTACTGCAAAATGGGATATGTACTGCAAAATGGGTTTGAATATGAGTATTCCGTGTAAGATGGCCTAAATTAATCATGTGTTCCTCTTTTCAAGGTTTTTATTGAAAAGGTTAAGGTTGTTTGTCTAAATTAAGAGTAATGTTACATTGTCAACCTAGTAACAACTAGGTTGACAACACAAGTTAAAACATTCAAAAAAATAAAAAATAAAATACACAAGTGAATGTTTTCACTTGTGTTGTCAACCTAGTTGTACACTAGGTTGATAATGTAGCATTCTTCCTAAATTAATCTTATGCGTTTTGCTCATCGTGAATCCAACTCCCATGTTCAAGAACCAGTTTCAATAACTTAGGGAGGGGATTGTTGGAAAATCAGCTATAAAAAAATGATTTGCTTCTAGTTTGACAAATTTTTTTTATGATTAAATATTTAATTTGAGTTGAATTAAATTGTGTAGAAAAAATTCTACCTTCCGAGTAGATACTTGTAGTATATTAATTTTCTCAAAATTAATTTTCGATGAGAGAAATATTTGATTAAAGTTAGTCATTAATGGACACAAAATGTTGGTGTACGGGTGAACATGATTCGATATGGTTCGTAGATTAATAAATCTCTGGAACCGTATCAAAAATTGGAGATCACTAAAATTCAATCTCCAAAACCATACCATATAATTAGTTCACTTCGGATATTATTATTTTTCGGTACAGTTTTATTCATTATTCGGGACTATCGTGGCGGTTCAATTCAAATCGGTTTGGTTTGGAGCTATGGATACTTCTAATTGTTTTTATATTATTATTATTATATTATTATTATTATTATTATTATTATTATTATTATTATTATTATTATTATTATATGGTATAGTTAAATTTAATTTTGATATACTTTTAGAAAAAAATCCAAACTTTTATCAATACCTGACCATATTAAATATTTTATTCTAAATCAACTTTAGAAAATATATAACAACTCAAAGTATCAGATAAGCTTAAATTTGTGCAACTAATGATAAAAATTTGACATTCAAATAAAATATAATATACTTATTTTTTAAGTATTTTTTTTATCTTTTTAATAACATTTTAATTATAAGATAGAACAAGACTAACAAAAGTATCAACAAATATAATGAAAATACATTCTTCAATTAATCTTTTTTTTTTTTGGTACAATAAAGGAGGCCAAAGAGCCTAAGCTAGGACCCGTCGGGGGTATGAGATCCCCAAATTATCATGATGAAGCCACTCGCCTAGCCCTGTAGGGAGACTTGAAGCACGATGCAAGCCAACTGGATATGAGCCCGCTAAGCTAGCCAGATGGTCAGCAGAGAAGTTCGCCTCTCTATGGATATGTATAACACGAACATTCCACTCCTTCTGCAATAGGTCCCGAATGGCCTTAATCATAGCATCGTGAATTCCAAAGGACCCATCCCCATTCATTACCATCCTTGTGACACATTGGCTATCAGTTTCAACAATAACACGTCGGTATCCGGAGTCCCAAGCCAACGAGAGCCCTGAAAAAGGCCCCAAAGCTCCGCACCCGTGATGGTACAAGCACCAATATTCATAAGGAAGCCGGATAGCCACCGCCCCGCTTCATCCCGAATTAGCCCTCCCGCACTACTTAGGCCAGTACAACTACCAAAGGCCCCGTCGGTATTCAGTTTCACCCACCCCGGATCCGGGGGGTTCCACCGGATTAGCCGAGTGGTATAAGTGGCAATTCCGACCTTTCGGTAGTCTTCCTCAGCGCGGACAAAGTTGTTCGTCATGCGCACCACCTCCGAGAAACGGGCCTCACAGCTAATCTTTGAGTGTTTAAATACCCGCCCATTCCTCCAAGCCCACAATTTCCAAACCGTGAAAGAGAACAGAGTGCTCCAATTTGCAGTTGTTGCTCGCCGCTGCAGCAAACAATTTAAATGGAGCCAGGTGGTCAAGGGCTGGTGGAAGAATTCTCCAGTAGGGTCAGCCCGGAAACACAGTCGCCAGACCTCCTTGGCTGCTGGGCAGTCGGTAATACATGGAGGGTGGACTCAATTTCGCCGCAATGGTCGCAAACCCCGAAGTCTGAAATATGGCGCCTCATTCTTTCTGCGTTCGTTAGTAGGCGGTCGTTGCCCGCAAGCCAGAGGAACGTACGAACTCTCTGTGGGGCCGAGACTCTCCAAATAGTTTTCCACAACGGGCGGTCATGGATGCGCGACTGTGGAGATACCGCTCGATAAGCAGACCTCGTGGTAAATTTCCCATCGTCCGAGAAGCCCCATATAATGTGGTCCTCTCCAGCTATTTCCCTCGGTGGGAGCGTGCCCGCTATGCAAAGGACCAAAGCCGACAGCAAAACGCCATGGAAGCTAAGCCAATCCCAATTCCCGTTATCATCCACATGCTCAGCTAATTTCGAAAATAAATTCCCGATCTGGGCTTGGTTATGGACATATCTAATCAAGGGCCCTACCTACCCAAGCCAAGGGTTAAGCCAGAACTGAATTCGCTCACCATTCCCTAGGACCCATCGAACACTGCCAGCTATGTCCGGCCATATCGTACGGATTGCACGTATTAGGGCTGAACCTCTTCGCAAGGGAAAGACATTGACGTTATCCATAAGATTAAGCGCATATTTCGCTTGCAGCACGCGCACCCACAGGGAATCTGGGCGTGTCCATAAGCCCCATCCCAATTTCATTAATAATGCACGGTTCATACGCCCAAGATCCTTGATCCCCAGGCCCCCGTCCTCTTTCGATTTGCAAATATTATCCCATGCAATCAAGTGCACCTTCCGTTGGTCGTTAGTTCCACCCCACACAAATGCGCGACTTCTACGAGCAAGCCCATCAGTCACAATGCCCGGAAGCAGTGAATTCTGCATTGTATAGTAAGGTAAAGTGCTGAGAACCGACTGCGTGAGGGTCACTCGGCCCGCCATCGATAGAGACTTCATTCGCCAACCCGCTAGGCGCGCTTCCGTTCGTTCGAGAATGTGACAGTATGTCTCTTTTGTAACACGTCCA